TAGCTGGGCATGGTGGCACATGCCTGTAGTCCCAGCTACTTGGGAGGCGGCAGCAGGATCGCTTGAGCCCAGGAGTTTGAGTTACTGTGAGCTGGGCTGACGCCACGGCATTCTAACCTGGGCACCAGAGTGAGACTCTATCTCTAAATAAATAAATACCAAAATAGGTATAGATAGGTATAGATTGATAAATAATGCTAATTTTCATAAGCATTTAGCTGTACAAGGCACTGTGCTAAGAGCCGGGAGGGGACAAAAGAGAAACAGGACATGATCCTCCCTGGTCCCCTATTTTGTTTAATTGAGTCATATTCCTTGTGAGTACAGGCAACATTAGTTCCACTTCACTCTCATTGTGCCTGCATTATTAATAGGCCTCCTTTCACAGTCAAAAATGTTGTTTTGGATGAAAAATCAATCATAAGGTCTTCCTACTTAAAAGCAACATTTGCAGTCAAACTTATAAGCTTTCTAAAACAATGAAAATTGCTTTAGATATAGCCAAGGCCATAAAAATTTGCAGATATTTTTCTGATAACTTCATGATTCTACATCCTACTATATCTGCCTTATTAATTGGTAACAGAATATTCTGACCAGAGATTAGCACTGGATTCCATTTTCTCTAATTCATTGTTTTCATGTAAAACAGTTTTATTTCTTCAAAGATATTAACAGTTCCTTGAAAATAGAGGGACTTCTTTTGCGTCCCTCTCAATTATAGTATAGTAGGCATATAAGCCTACTAGTATAGTAGGCTTTTAATAAATAATTTAAAACTTATAATAATAATCAAGTTTTACACTAATCTAAGGATCATACTAGGTCATTACAATAATATTATAGAACTTAACATAATCACTGAGGGATCTTTGAGCAATTATTCTTAATAAAGTTAACTAAATCCAAATTGAGGGATTATAGCTTGAGAGGGAGGACTAAGAATAACTGCATCATACATTATCATAGCATTTTTGGGGGAGGAAGCTACATTTTTTTAATTACTAAGGAAGCCACTTCTATAATTGTCACTAAGTCCAGGATGCGTTAACAGCAACAAGTTCTGGCGGTAACTATATCCCACTCTGAATTTTCTGGTTTGAATCTCGGTCTTCTCTCTTGACCTCAACTGAAAAACCCGGGCACATGAGGCCTCAATCCCGACTCTCCTATTCCTGGCAAATGGCAAAGCCAATCATGTAGGAGGTTTTTTCAGAGGAGAAAATGACTTTGTCTTCCCAAAAGACAAACTCTCCACCTTGCTTTATGAGGCAGATAGCAGCCACAAACCACAGACTGGTCGGGGCCTGCGCAGGCCTCAGCTATTATGGTATTTTACAGTTTACAAAGGGCTTCACACATTACGACACTTCAGTCAGAAGATCTAGTGTTTCTCGGCCCTTCCAAAAACTGAACACTGTGCCTTCATGTAAATCACTCAACCTTCCTTAGCAACAGTTTCCTTCTCAGTAAAAGGAGGATAATAACACTAGTCCTTTCTCCTTCACAATTATGAAGTATGAGAAAACATGTAAGAAACTGCCTAAAAAGTTTACAGAAATATGTTAAAAAATTTATTCAGTGTTTACAGAGGGCCAACTATATACATGTGCCAGGAATTATGTCAGACAGTGGTATTACAAATACGAATTACTACAATCTCAAGCGGTTTACAATTTAGAAAGAGATTTTCAAAGAAGAATTACAGTACAAAGTGAAATAAGCTGGAACTGAGGTAATCTAAGAGGTACAAGAAGGAACAGAGGAAGGACCACTTCAATACGCTTTAGGAGCGTATTGATCATAGCAGTGTGATCAAAGGGCTTCACCCCAGGGATCAGTGCTAGAACTGAGAGACACTGGATGAAATTCAAATGAATTTGGGAGGAAGATAAGGAAGGACTGGGACCAGGGAGCCAGAAAACCAGCAACACAAGGACACTGAGTAGAAAGAGCCTGGCATCCAGCAGACTCTAGGGGTATGTTACAGCTGGGAGAGAATGACAAGAACGAGGCTAGCAAGCGTGGCAGGATCAGATGAAGGGTCTCCCAGGCTGTCGAATTTTACTCTGTAGGGAATGAGGAGCTACTTAACTATTTTGAGAAAGAAAAAGACATGGTCGTGAGAAAGACTGCTCTAGTGGCCACCAGTCTCATCTCTTACAGTCCATCTTCTGTAGATGAACAGAAGATTATGAACTCTGGATTAGGGCTGTGTCATCCAGGATCACAGGAAGACACATGTGAGAGGCATCCAGAAAGTGGCAATCAGGACCCAGGTGACTGGATGTGTGAGGTGCTGAATACAGAAAGATGCATGAGTTTTTTTCCATAGGGGGTAGATGGGTGTTGGGGTGATGGAGAGGTGAGCCGAGTTTTAGGTGGAGAAATAGATGTGAGAAAGCACGAACTCTGCAGCCAAACTGCCTGGTTTCTAGACCTGGTTCTACCACTTACTTGATCTCGAAGAAGACATTTGGCCTCCCTATTCCTCAGTTATCTCATCTGTAAAATGGGGCTATAAGAATAGTGCCTACCTCATAGGGCTATTATGAGGATTAAATGAGTCAACATTTATACAGCATAAAGTCCGGTGCCAAGAACACAGTGAGTGCTATATAAATGTCTGTAAATAAATTTAAGATGGGATATAATTTAAAATAAAGAGACTAACCAGATAGATAGCGAAAAATATTGAAGATTGGAGAAAGGAAATAAAATTTGGAACAAGATCCAGAAATAGGGTAGGAGGTGTAGAAGGGAGATGAGGTAAGAGGCCAGATGAATGGATTAACCCAGGAAAAACGCAAGGTGATCCTTTCTGAACCTGAAAAAGGAGACAAGATGGATAAGGACGTGCAAGCAGGTGGGCTGGAAGATGAAGAGATTCAAACAGCTTCCACTTTCTAGCTGAAGGAAGGAAGAAGGAAGGCTCTGTGACAATGACTGAAGACAAAGGAGCAGAGAGAGGGACGGGGCTTGAGGAAAGTGGTAAAAGTCTGGAAGAATCCCTGGGAAAAAGGAGAGGGCTGATTAGTACTAGAGCCCAGCTAAAATTTAGTAGCAGCAATCTGTAGTTTTGTGATTTCTCTGATAGAGCTCAGCTTGGCTACAGGAATCAAGGCATTTACTTGAAGTGGCCAAGACTTGGGGACTTACAGGGATAGGGTGGTGACTGTAGAATAGAGCAAAGGAGCTGCAGATGCTAGTAAGAGGACACAGCTGAAGTTATGCAAAAGGGGGTCTAGATTGGGTGGGGAAGTAAGTATACAGATTTGGAAAGAGAGGAGTCATATTTCGTCAGATAGGGATGAGGGATCAAGAGATTAAAAGAGCTCAAATAAAAGGTTGCACAGAAGATGGACTAGAATTAAGGTCTAGAGGTGGAGTGGTATGAATGGGGGGTCCAGGGCATGATGATAAGGTCCAGAAGATGGCCAGATAAGTCGCTGTTGGAAAAAAGCAGAAGCAAAGGTCGAAAATCAAGCAGGTCAAAAAGTTTTGGTCCTTCCAAACAGCAGGAAGCAACTATGCTAAATAGGTACAGAAAAGGCATTTCCGAATAAGGTACCTTATCTAACAAGAATTCGTTTCATTTTTATTTGATAAGTTGAAAAGGTAAATTTGATTTAAATTTAAGACAAATTAAAAAAAAATCATCCTTACAAAATTTGTATAAAGGGCCTCTTCCACCCTTGTTCTCTGGCTCCTAGTTCCTCTTAGGTGGTCACTGTTACCACTCTTCCTGTGTATTTGAGAAAGTCTGTGCCTAAACAAACACGTGTGTGTGTGTGTATGGGGGGGTTGTTTTTTTTAAACACAAATGGTAAACTATACATAGAGGTCTACCCCTTTCCTTGTTTTTTTTTTTTTTTTTTTGAGACAGAGTTTCACTCTGTTGCTCAGGCTAGAGTAAGTGCCATGGTATCAGCCTAGCTCACAGCATCCTCAAACTCCTGGGCTCAAGTGATCCTCCTGCCTCAGCCTCCCGAGTAGCTGGGACTACAGGCATGTGACACCATGCCCGGCTAATTTTTTCTATATATGTTAGTTGGCCAATTAATTTCTTTCTATTTATAGTAGAGATGGGGTCTCGCTCTTACTCAGGCTGATTTTGAACTCCTGACCTCGAGCAATCTGCCCGCCTTGGCCTCCCAGAGTGCTAGGATTACAGGCATGAGCCACCGCACCTGGCCCCTTTCCTTTTTTTTTTTTCAATGGAGATCATTCCATATCAGTATGTAAGAAACAAGGTACCTTGTTCCATTTTTGGCTGCATACGATTGTATTGAATAGATATACCGTAATTTATTTAATCTGCTACTGATGAATGTTTAGGTTGTCCTTTAGCTAGTACAGTGATAACCTTGAACCCAATACTGCTATACATATCTATGCAGAATGTAGCTCTAAGATAAAGTCCTAAAAGTATAATTTGTACTAACTGTATATAGATCAATACCCATTTTATTAGGTGTTTTGTTTCAGAGGGCTTGTTGGGCAGCTTCACTGATAATGCCGTTTCTGAAGACATGGCATGTTCAGAATCAACAAACTGGAAGAATTAAGAGTGCCTTTCTGTAAATAGTGGTGACACTGACTCTTTTCTATATGTGATAAAGTGATTCTGCATCTTTGAACACATGGATCTCTCATACATGGAGATACATTTTATCCCTGTCAAAGTTGTCATTGTGGGTGAGACAGATTGGGATCGAATAATGATTTGACTTTTCCCTAGCAGTGTGATCATGGGCAAACAACTTATTCTTTCTGAAACTTGCATTATCTGTAAGATGTGGACATAATATCTACCTCATAGGGTTTTCATAGAAATCACTGAGATAATGTATGTGATATGTTACACAGTGCTTTACAGATTGTCCAATAAATAGTAGATATTGGCTCAAATGTGCTAAAACAAAACAAAACAAAACAAACAGACAAAAAATCATCCTAAAGATTACAGGAAAAAAATGAATGACTATTCAAATACTCACTATGAAGCGATGAAGTCCATAGTACAATAGGATATCTGCTAAAGTAAAGTTATATCCTGTAAGGTAGACTTTATCTTCAAGATATGCATTAAGATCCTAGAAAAAATAAATATTAATTTAAAAAACAGTAATAATAAAGCTAACTATCATATCACATGACTTAAAACATTTAGAAAGCTACTAGAAAACAAAATACTGACATTTAATAAATTTAATCTTTGACATTAAGACAAATGCATTCAAAATTACAAATCCTATGCCAATCACCTCATTTTTAAAAAATAGGATGAACATTATTAGTCTTATTTTAAAGAAACAAGAAAACATTAGAAAATGATATTCAAAGTGCTACTATGATCATTTCAGGGTCCAGTTTTATGTTTTGGGAAATATTTTGCAAATCATGCAAGTTAGATTTATTTTTACCATTAAAATATTAAAAGCACCTCAACAATTTCTATCTCTTCAGAGAGTTCTAAGAAATTCTATAAGCACGAAACATTTCCCCACTTCCCCTTCTTTCCAGGTCCTGGCAACAACCATTCTACTTTGTTTCTATGAATTCACTGAGTATAAGGTTCATCCATGTTGTGGCGTGTGTCAGAATTTCCTTCCTTTATAAGGCTTAATGATATCCCATTGTTGTATGGACCACATTTTCTTTATCCATAAATCTGTCAATAGACACTTGGGTTGTTTCCACCTCTTGGCTATTGTGAATAATTCTGCTGTGAAAATGAGTGTACAAATACCTCTTCAAAACCATGCTTTGAATTCTTTTGGGTATACACCAAGAAGTGAAACTGCTGAATCACATGGTAATTCTATTACTTTCTTGAGGAACTGTGATTCTGTTTTCCATAGCAGTTGCACATTTTACATTCCCACCAATAATATACAAGGGTTACAATTTTACTATAGCCTTTCCATTTATTTTCTGGCTTTTTTTTTTTGTTTTGGTAGTAGCCATCCTAACAGATATGAAGTGACATCTCAACTGTGAGTTTGATTTGCATTTTCCTAATAGTTCATACATTTGTTGGCTATTTGCATATCTTCTTTGGAGAAATGTTTACTCAAGTCTTTTGCCCATTTTTTAATCAGGTTATTAGTTTTGTTTTGAGTTCTTTATATATTCTGAATATTAACCCCCTGTTAGATATACGATTTGCAAACATTTTCTCCCACTCTGTGGGTTGCCTTTTCATTCTGTTGATCATATCTTTTGATGTATAGAAATTTTAAATTTTGATATAGTCTGTAGTCCAATTTATCTATTTTTTTACTTTTGTTAGAAGTACAGTCTGACAAACCTCCATCAATACGTTTCCTGAAAGGAAAAAGTTTTGCCCTCTTAAAACACATAATTTAGCAGAACAGGAATTTACATTAATTTATATTCAATCAAATGAGATACCAGACTGATATAACCTTCAGAGGAAGGTTTTATAAATAAGTTATATGAACTATTATTAGATATTCTCAGAGGCTCCTCTAAAGACTAGATATAAAACACAGCTCAGTGGCCAATAGCATTTATTCTGGAAGAATTCCTTAAACTATAGAGACAGCATTTTGTTCTGATTCTCAAATCATGTCTGTCTTAGTCTCTTTGGGCTCCTACAACAGAATATATAGACTGGGTGGCTTATAAACAAGAGGAAGTTATTGTTCACAGTTCTGGAGGCTGGAAGTACAAGACCAAGGCTCTGACAGATGCAGTGTTTGGTGAGGGCTCACTTCCTGGTTCACAGTCAGCTGTCTTTTCACATGGTGGAAGGGGTGAGGTCTCTCTCAGGCCTCTTTTATAAAAGCACTAATTTCATTCATGAAGGCTCTATGCCTGGGACCTAATCACCTCCCAAACCATCACCTTGTAGGGTTAGGATTTTAACGTATGAATTTTGGGAGGACACAAATATTCAGACCATAGCAATATCCCACAGCATCTGGCACACAGCAGTTCGGTAATCAATAAATGATTGCTGAATTGAATTTAATTGCTTTGAGTTTGTCCACAAACAACACGATATACATTCAACACGAAGACTGTGGGGATGAAGACCTTTATGGTGATCTACTTATATTGAATGAACAGTAAATGTATTTTCTCTTCGTTATGATTTTCATTTGAAGACAGTCATTTTCAAAATGGTGTATGAATACAGATTCCTAGAGGTGTCCGTTCCAGATGACAAAATAAAGGAATATGGATACAAATGAGAAGATAGGTGTGAAAGAATCAAAATTTAGGTGGGATGGTAGAATATATTGGTATATTATGGGATGCTACTTAAATTTTATGGTAATCCGTTGATTGGAGATGGTTTCTCTCCAAATTTCTTCAAAGGAATCAACATTGACAAAATATAAAAAAATAAACACATCTTCATGTAATTTTAAAAAGCATTTAAAGAAAGAGCTGAAACAATTTAACATTGTTTTGTATACTTTTTCTAAAATAGAATCTATACTCATGTTTTAATTATAAATACTCTTAAAAATGTAGTTTTAATAAACTATGATTAGGTAGTATTTTCCTGATTACTGATGTAAATAAAATTTTTCCTACCAAAAGACACAATTTCACGCATTCTAACTATTCAAAGCAGGGAACTAATTAATGTCTGTTGTTCACATTTCCTTTTTTTTGTTTTAGAAGTCTTTTTGATGCTACTGCCAAACTTGTTAAAAATATTTTCCTTATAGTTCCACCTGATTTTTCTTTTTTCTTCCAACTATCTATTATTAAACTTTCTAATAATTTAGAAAAGTTGAAAAAAACAGTATAATAAGCCAACTATATAGCCTCCATCGAGATTCACCAAACATGTTTTGCACTATCTGCTTCTTGAAATGATATGCTACCTTATTTATGAGGCATTAAAATTTAGAATTTTGGTTTTAGCACTGAAATGTAATTTTGGCAAATAAGAATTAAACCCTTTCATAATATCCTAAGAGCAAGAGTTTAAAAATAAATAATAAAAAGATACACAGCTCTGTACAAACATGGGCAAAGAATACATACAAGTAAATTTTTAAAAATAGTAAAAATGAACCAGGAGTGGTGGCTCATGCCTGTAATCCCAGCACTCTGGCAGGATAGGAGTTTGAGATCAGCCTGGACAACACAGTCAGACTGCATCACTACAAAAAAATTTTTAAAAAAATTAGCCAGGTGTGGTGGCGTGCATCTGTAGTCCCAGATACTCAGGTGGCTGAGGCAGGAGGATTGCTTGAACCCGGGAGTTCAAGAGGGCAGTGAGCTATGACTGTGCCACTGCACTCCAGCCTGGGTGACAGAGAGGAACACTGTCTCTCAAAAATAAAAGGGAAGGCAGGGTGCGGTGGCTCACACCTGTAATCCTAGCACTCTGGGAGGCCCAGGCGGGAGGATCACTCAACGTCAGGAGTTTGAAACCAGCCTGAGCAAGAGCAAGACCCCGTCTCTACTAAAAATAGAAAGAAATGAATTGGCCAACTAAAAATATATAGAAAACATTAGCTAGGCATGGTGGTGCATGCCTGTAGTCCCAGCTACTAGGGAGGCTGAGGCAGAAGGGTTGCTTGAGCCCAGGAGTTTGAGGTTGCTGTGAGCTAGGCTGACACCATGGCACTCTAGCCTAGACAACAGAGCAAGACTCTGTCTCAAAAAAAAAAAAAAAAGGAGAAAAAAAGGCTATTAAGTGCTGTGAAAAATGCCATACCACTTATAATTCTATAGAAAAAAAGCTGTAAACAAGGAAATTATTTTGGGGTTTGCTTATTTTGGTAACGAAATGGGGGTAGTAAAGGAGAAAAAGGTAATACCTATGTTAGTTTTGTGGAGGTGGCCACTTTCATATACTACAATAGTGTACTTTTCTGGAGGGCAAACGAGAAACATAGCCTTAAAATTATATAGCTTTTAGTGTAGCAATTTCCCTTGTAGGAATTTAGCCTAAGGAAATAAGTGGGAATATGTTCAAATACTTAGCAACAATCTAGTAACTAACTATCCAGGATAGATAATTTAAATTATGGTACAATTACAGTTGACTCTTGAACAACTCAAGTTTGAACTGTGCAAGTCCACTTATACATGAATTTTCTTCTGCCTCTGCCACTCCTGAGACAGCAAGACCAACCCTCTTTTCTTCCTCCTCAGCCTACTTAATGTGAAGACTGTAAGGATGAAGATCTTTATGATGATCCACTTCCACTTAATAAACTGTAAATTTATTCTCTCTTCCTTAAGAATTTTAATAACATTTTCTCTAGCTTACTTTATTTGTAAGAATACAATAAATAACACCTAACATATAAAATGTATTGATCAACTGTTTATGTTATTGGTAAGGCTTGCAGTCAATAGCAGGCTATTGGTAATTAAGTTTTGGGGCAGTCAAAAGTTACATGTGGATTTTCAACTGCTCAGGGGTTAGTTCCCCTAACCCTACATTGTTCAAGGGTCAACTGCATAAGAGAGAACACTAGCAGTTTATTAAAAGGAGAGTGTAAGTAAATATTTATTGACAGAAAAAGATGTTCACAACACATTTTCAGTGAGCAAAAAAACAGGTTACTATGTCCAGAGGATACTCATTTTTAAAATAAAATACAAACACACATATATATGAAAAGAAAAAAACATGGAAAGAACACAAAATGGGTTTAATAAATATTTGATGACTGAATATAAGCATCTTTTTTTTTTTTGAGACAGAGTCTCACTTTGTTGCCCAGGCTAGGGTGAGTGCTGTGGCGTCAGCACAGCTCACAGCAACCTCAATCTCCTAGGCTCAAGCGATCCTCCTGCCTCAGCCTCCTCAGTAGCTGGGACCACAGGCATGCGCCACCATACCCGGCTCATTTTTTGTATATATATTTTTAGTTGGTCGATTAGTTTCTTTCGATTTTTTTAGTAGAGATGGGGTCTCGCTCAGGCTGGTTTCAAACTCCTGACCTCAAGCAATCCACCTGCCTCGGCCTCCCAGACTGCTAGGATTATAGGCGTGAGCCACCACGTCCAGCCAACATAAGCATTCTTAATAGTGCCTTCTTGTTGGTGGGACTATGGATATTTCAAATGTATTCCATTTTAATATTTGTATTTCCTAAATTTCTATAATATTTACTGCCTTTAAAATAAAAACAATGCTGTCTTTAAATAGCAAAATTGAAAACAAAACAGAAAACCACCCTTTTCTCATTTGCACTCATATGGCCAAAAACCACACTGCAGTCCATTCCACATACATTTACTTGTCTCCCCCACTAGTTGAGTTCTGTAAGGGCAGAAACTGCTTATGGATCACTAGCCCTTGACATGTTGCAGGTGCAAATGAGCAAACTGTCATAGAGCAAGGAAGAAAACCCAAATCACCCAGCTGCACATACACTACATTTCAAAAACAGTTACGTCAGAGTCTCTCAATTAAATATTTAATATCTCAGATATAACTCTTTGGGAATTACTTCCATGCTTCTAAAACCAAATTTATTAATATAACTTTTGAAACTATAAACCCAATTCATTGAAATCCTGTTCCTATCTTTCAGAATTAAGTACTTTATTACTTATCCTTTCCTTTGGAAAATTAAAAAGACGGTTATATTCACTTTTTATTTGCCTGAAATCTCACATTCACTTAGAGGAGCATATATGCCTGCTTCCCTCTGAAAATGCTGTGGAGCATGGTGGGGGCACACCAGAGGGGCCCCTATCAGTAATCAGTGTAGATATTATGAATGAATGGTTGATCGTGAGAGATCTATAAAGGATCAAGGCCTGAAATGATTTTCTACCAGTTCTCTTGATGAAATCTATTAAAAATACAGGCTGGGCACGGTGGCTTACGCCTGTAATCCTAGCACTCTGGGAGGCCGAGGCAGGTGGATTGCTCAAGGTCAGGAGTTCGAAACCAGCTTGAGCAAGACTGAGACCCCGTCTCTACTATAAATAGAAAGAAATTAATTGGCCAACTAATATATAGAGAAAAAATTAGCCAGGCATGGTGGTACATGCCTGTAGTCCCAGCTACTCAGGAGGCTGAGGCAGCAGGATTGCTTGAGCCTAGAAGTTTGAGGTTGCTGTGAGCTACGCTGATGCCACGGCACTCACTGTAGCCCGGGCAACAGAGTGAGACTCTGTCTCAAAAAAAACAACAAAAAAAAACCAAACAGTTTAAACCATTTCCTCCAAAGTGATAAAGGAAAAACTTCTTTACACAACTTAAGGAAGCATAAAAAGATTATAATTATTTATTTCAATAAATAAATATAATTTAATAATTATAAATTATTTCCATCATATAAAAATGGAAATAAAATTAAGAAACAGAAGGGATACCTGCAATGATGTGGTTGTCTGAATGATTTCTATGTTCTCTTCAAATTTAAAGCTTTTATAAAATTTTTCAAAATCTATTTATATATATAAATTAACAAAAATAATTTTATTTGGAATGTTTTCATTCGTGGTGACTCTGGAGCCATATTCAGTTTATATTTTATATTAATACATTCTTTTATTCTAATTTGACACCTTTAGAAAGAAAATACAAATCTTAAAGCAATGGTTCTCAAGGAAGAGAAAGTTGGGCTTTCTCAGATCAATTGGACAGCTTTGTCAAACTATAACCCTCAAAGATTATGATCCCCTCTTGCCTCTGAGAAAATACTTTATCCCTTAGAGAATCAGGCCTGCTGAGTAGGGCATCACATTAAAAAAAAGTCATACAAAACTATAATTGCTGACTATGGCAAGTGTTAGGTAGGAAAAGCACAGAGTGCTGGGACTGCACATAGAACAAAGAACCTCAGCTAGCTGAGACAGAAGTAGTCAAGGAAGTTTCCAAGGCAACGGTATCTGAGCTGAGATCTGAAGGGGGAGCATTAGGAGGCAGTACAGACAGTTCCAGTTGGAAGAAGTAACAGGTACAAACTACTGAGCAGAAGGAAAGAGGTAAAGAAGGCCAACAGCTTTTGAATCTCAGGGGAAAGAGATTTTTGTTTAGTGTATTCAGCATTTCAGCCTATATATTAATACAAAGAGAAGTCACAATACCTTCAACAGAGTGCGGATATCATCTTTATTGGAGTGTCTGTCTACTTGGGTGACCCTGTATTCTAACCATTGCTGAACTATTGCTTTTTCTTCTGCAGTACTCCCCAGCAAATATTCTTTGTTGGCTTGCTTGACTAGATGGGCTGCTATAGTAGTCAATCCTGTTAGACTTGGACCACTGTTTGTTTGAAGAACTGGAATCTTAAAAAGAAAAAAAAAAGTTCTTCAGATAAATTTAAAAAACAAAGACCATATCATGATTGTAATTTCTAAGTAATCACTAAATCCCTCAACTATTTTTTCAAATACTCTATGGTTTTACACTAAGATACTAAATCACATACAAATGAAAGTCAGGACAATAGCAGTTATATAAGGTACAATTTAATTAACAGATACTTGATGAAACTGGTAATAACATTGGAAAAATGAGTATAAAGTTACTATAATAATTTATAATTGTGTATGTACAATATGAGAAAATGGAAACCCTAATAATACTGTATTCATTTCAATCAAGATTACCTGTACTTTATTTTAGCAAAGTGAACATACTTGAATAAACATGACTTTTTATGTTTCCCTTATTACCATAGCAATACAAAAGGTCGGATTTACTTGCTTATAAGAAATTGCCAATTAATTTAAATTTTCTTGACATAAAACTAAGCAGAAAGCATAAGAAATTTAAAAGAAAATTGAACAATAATGGGAAGACTGTCCAAATATAAATAACAAGTACACAATCTAAATGATCTAAGCAAACAAAAAAATTATTTTCTTCAGAAGACTGCTGCTCTTTTCAGCCATGAAATCGTATCTTGTACTCTTACACTGATTTATACTTTGCAGGGCACTTGCACACTCCTATATCAACAGGACTCAGAGAGGATATACTCAAGGAGATTAACAATCTACAGACACAGATTCAAAGGTTACTTTCTAAAAGGTAGAGATAACTAAAGGCACTTTCCACTTCCCATTCACTATTTAGCTCCTTGAATTCTCATTTTTGCCTTCACAGTCAAATGAAACCACCAACCTCTAAGGTCATCAATAACTTCCTTTTAAAAAAATGTATCAAAAGAAAATAATATGAAACTCTCTGGGAGTGCTGATAATGTTCTATTCCTTGACTGGGTAGTTACCTGGGTGTGTTCACTTTGTGGTAACATCAAGATTTGTATACTTTTTTCCTGAATGGATGTTATAATTGTAAAGAAAAAATAAGAAATAAAAATGTCTCACAATTGCTGAGTGTGTGTGTGTGAGATAATTAACTCTAAAGAGAATTATTTGTAACAATAAATTATCCACAACCCCACCATACTAACTAAAAAAATTCCCAGTTAACCTTCTCATCTAATGATTACATCTTCTAAGAAATGGTAAGCAATCTCATCATCATTTTGCAGATAAAGAAACCAAGTCACTTGGTTAGTAATAAGAGTCAGGGTTTGAATAAAATACCATTGGCTTTAACGTGCATTCTCTTTCCTCTACACAACCTAAAGTATTATATATAAATCTTATGCAGTTGCAATCATGCAATCACACACTATTTTTGCATTTATCTTAGGGTTTCATAGTCTTCAAAGTAATCACTTTTAATGGCTGCATAAGTAATATAGTCATGTGGCGTCAATGACTGACTGACTGCATATAAGACAGTAGTCCCATTAAGATTATAATATAGTATTTTTACTTACCTTGTCTATGTTTAGATATATTTAGATACACAAATACTTACCATTGTGTTATAATTGCCTAAAGTATTCAGTATAGTAACATGCTATACAAGTTTATAGGCCAGGAACAATAGACTCTATCGTATAGCCTACTATAGATGAGGTATTTCATACCACTGAGACAAGTACATTCTATAATCTTTGCATAAGGACAAAATTGCTGGATGATGCATTTCTCAGAACATATCCCTGTCATTAAGTGACACATGATTGTTTCAATGTGACAATGTACTATAATTTAATGAACCCTTCTCCTAGAGATGGATTTTTGAGCTACTTTCAATTTTTCATTATTATTGGTAATGTTGCACATAATGCCTTATTGCTGGTTCTCTGCTGTCAGCTGTCTTCCCCCCAAATGGCTGATCTTATCACATAACTCCAACCCTTTCCCCATACACAGAAACTTTTGAAAAATAGCTGCCCACTACCAAAATGTTTTTTTTTTTTTTTTTGAGACAGAGTCTCGCTTTGTTGTCCAGGCTAGAGTGAGTGCCATGGCATCAGCCTAGCTCACAGCAACCTCAAACTCCTGGGCTAGAGCGATCCTCCTGCCTCAGCCTCCCGAGTAGCTGGGACTACAGGCATGCGCCACCACGCCTGGCTAATTTTTTATATATATATCAGTTGGCCAATTAATTTCTTTCTATTTATAGTAGAGACAGGGTCTCGCTCTTGCTCAGGCTGGTTTTGAACTCCTGACCTTGAGCAATCCGCCCGCCTCGGCCTCCCAGAGAGCTAGGATTACAGGCGTGATCCACCGCGCCCGGCCTACCAAAATGTTTTAATGAAAATAAAATTTAAAACCATACTCTGAACTCCAAAGGCCTCACAGTTGGGCCTCAATCTATAATTCCGGGTTCTTGCATCACTCCACATACTCGTTTCCTTATTGCCTCAAACTTCCCAGTCTTTCATAATTTATTGGTTTTATACATCTTTGAAAGCCTAACCCCTTAAATACCAGCTTTTCTGTGAAGCTTATAAGTCCATTTTAATAGTTGGAATTAACTTTCTCTTCCACACTCCTCAACAATATTTTCCTCCATTAGTACATATTCTGTTGGGCTTTAAATTAATTGCTGATGGCTATTTCTTACACTAGATAATACTCGTATCTTGACTGTGTTCCCTAAAAAATAGAAACCAAACTAAAGAGTACCAGCTGGAAGGACAAAATCAGCATGAGGGCAGTGGAAAAATCAAAAGCAGGCCACTTTGGGTGCAATGCCTACTCTGCCACTAATCACAGGGTTGACCTTAGGCAAGTCGCTTATCCCTTCTAGGTTTCAGAATAACTTATATGTAAAAACTACAATACTACTACTTTCAAGACAAGATTTTAACATGGACTAAATGAAGAACAGAAAAAATTAAAGACAAAAACCAAACGTTGGCTGGGCAGGGTGACTCACCCTCACTCTGGGAGGCTGAGAAGGGAGGATAGATTGGGGTATCTTGGGGTCAGGATTTGGAGACCACGCCTCTACTAAAATTAGAAATATCAGCGGGACGTGGTGGCACGCGCCAGTAGTCCCGGCTACTCGGCTACTCGGGAGGCTGAGGCAGGAGAATCACTTGAGCCCAGGAGTTTGAGGTTGCTGTGAGCTAGGATGATGCCACAGCACTCTAGCCCAGGTGACAGAACGAGGCCAAAAAAACCCCTCAAAAAACCAAAACAAGACCTCAAAAAAACCAAAACAAACAAACAAAAAGGCATCTGGAAAAAATCTCAAAGGGGCAAAAAAATATATATATCCAAAGTACTCTTCCTACAACTATTTTCTTCCTCTAATACATTCTCTCCATTGCAAACAACGATCTTTATAAAACAAATGTTTTTCAATGCCCTGGAAATCTGAGTCCTTATACTTCACCAAGTCAACCTCATACCGTGTAACTTTCCTTCATTCCCTGAGCGTCGCACACTTGATATCCCAAGACTGCAGAAAAACCTTCCCTGTGTCGCACAGATTCGGTCAAGACCACTTATGTGTTCTCTCGGCCATCTTCACTACCATAATTGAAACAGCAGCAACGTTTGCCCACAGGCTTCAAAAAGCAAGCTTCCTGAGGGGAGGCAGGGTGCTCACCTTAGCCACCACTGTATTACCCAGGCCTAGCACAGTGCTACCTGGCACCCTAATAACTCTCTCAGAGTCGCTTAATAGCTGAATGAAAGGTGCAATTACTGTAAGTACAGTCACCGAATGCAAATGCAGGGCCTCCAGGTCAGTCTCTTCAACAGCTCTTAGAGGGGCCTCCCGCAACTGGTTATCCCATAATGGGATGGGGACAATTTCCCAGCAGGTAAAGTTCAGGCCGAGCCCGACCTAAGCAGATGCCCTTCCGCCCCCTGGAGCTAGGGCGGCCGGGCCGAGGCCCAGAGGCGCCAGCTGGCTCCGCGGCGCAGACACGTGGAGAGCTGGGAAGCGACATCCTCACTCCGCCCGCCTCGACCAGCCTGCAGCCCCGGTCCTACTTGGGCTCAGCAGGCCCCGTTTCCGTCTGTCTTTTCCTCTCCGCGCCGCCCAAATTTCTCACCTGGCGGTCGCCACGAGCGCTATATTTATTCCTTTTACTCAGCCCCAGCGACTTTTCCAGCAGCGCTAACTCTGCAGCCGCCGCCATCTTCCGGCTGTAGCTCCGGGCAGGGGCAGGACCCGGGCAGCAAAGACGTCCTCCATTGGCGGGCAGGGAAGACCCACCCCCGCAAGCGTCACCGGCGATTGGCTGAATGGAGGGGGCGCGGAAGGAACGCCTGCGAGCAGGAGGTGGGGCAAAGGAAGGGGCGGGGCCGAGGGCGGGGTGTGGACAGGTCGAGAGGTGACCCACACTTGAACCCCTGGATATTTAGTGGTAGGGTGAGCCAGGCTTTGGTGATGCGGTAGACTGGGTCTCTAAACCGCAAGCTGTTACCTGGCTGGCAGAGTTAACTCGTTTACTCATTTGGCAGGCTAAGAAAATTTATATGTAAGTGGAGCTGTAATTTACCTTAGTTTGGCTCAGGAATTTGTTAATTTGAACAATCAAATTGAATAGCAGAGAGTCCACAATCCGTGAATAGTTTCTAACATACAGCGTAATTTCATGAGGATTTTAATTGTTTTGTAAGGTGAATTGGAAAAGCTATTTTTTCCACTGTCTATCCACTAGTCAATACTAGCAAAAGAATTATAAATTTAAAGATTATTCATACAATACTGGGTATATTAGGTAGTGTTTAAATAATGATAGCCCAAGAAAATCAGCGACTAAGGGTATTAACGATCTTCCTTTGGAATACTAGAAAGATAGTGATATAATTTATGTAGCTTCTGGTATGTAAATAAACAATGCACATAACTCCCCTCCCCCACCAAGTTGCTACATTCTTGTATCTTCAAAATAGAAAATTAGTACTATATGTTGAGGCCTTGAATATTTCCAAAAGATTTCTGAAAACAAGAAATAGTTTTGACATTGAAGAATGAATAAACAAAGTATGTATTTGAGAGAAATAGAAACACTATAAGGTAATTCATCACGGAATCAGAAATACAGAAATTTAGTAGGGAATGTTGCTACTATATTACATCTTTCCTACCCCAGAATGCTTAATGAGTTAACTCTGGCAGTAGAAGTAAACATAAGGAAAACATTTTTTGCAAAATCAACATAACAAAGTACAAAAGAAATTCCAGTATAAATAGATTGTTGTGCATTACTTATCTGTTTTACTTCACATATACTGATAATTGAATGACCATTTTACTACTTCTAAAAAGGCCAGTCCTCTGAGAAAATTCACATAACTATTTTCATTGTTTAGGTTTACCTTTTGCTTGTAATAAAGCATTTTTTAAAAAATTCACAGTCACCTAATTCCATTGGTGGTATATATATAAAGTAAGGCTTGACCTAAATGGTAGAATAAGATTTGAATTCCAATATAAAATATCTGAAAGGATAGTCACCAAATGATAAAAGTGATAACTTTCAGGGAGTAATATTGGATGAATGGGTGGAAAATAACTGTTCAATTTATGCATTTTGATTTGAATGTTGCTGATAGCTTTTGTAATAAAAAATAGAGTTCTTTTAATGTAGTTATAAGCTTCTTTCTTTCCTTTGAGTCTGGAAGGTTTTTAACCCTGAATTTCCTTTTCTTCCTTGGTATTCTCCCTTTTGTTGTGGATGTGCATGACTGGAGAAGAAATTGGTTGACCACTGCTCTACTACTTCTGAAATGAAAAGCAAGGGTGCTGGTGCCACATAAAATGAGACAAATTTCAACTGGATGTCAGGAGACAGAAGTTCTAGTCTCTATTCAGCCCTAACTAGTATATCATTCCAATCAGACAGTCCCTTCTGGGTCTCAGTTTCCTCAAGTTTAACACAATGGGCTTGGATTAGATATCCCCTCTGGTCCCTGTTGGTTTTGATATTCTATCTTTTTCTGTTTTGATAGTTTTTCCTTAAAGTAGACATGCATTTTTGTACCACTAATATAACTCTGTATCATTACTAAAAAGGCCTTTTGATGTGGCCAGCCACATCATATAAATGTAATGGCTTGCTTGTTTTGAACAGAATTTAGGTGTGACCATAGAGAGAAGAGCTTAGATATTCCTGTCATACTCTTAATCTAGTCTTAATTTCAGTAGATGAGAAAGAGGATTAGAAGTGCTTCCTGTAGACAGGGCTGGCTTCATGGATATGTGACCTCCACAGTCACCCAGGGCCCACACTTATAAGAGCACTGTGCTTGGTTTAAGTCTCTGCTATCATCATCTTGAAGTTCTTTTTTGTTATTATTGTTTTTGTTTTTGAGACAGGGTTCTCATTCTGTTGCCCAGGCTGGAGTGCAGTGGTGCCATTATAGCTCATTGCAAACCTCCAACTCCTGGCCTCAAGTGATTGTCCCTCCTCAGCCTCCCGAGTAGCTGGGACCACAGATACATGCCATCATGCTCTGCTGATTTTTAAAAAAATTTTTTTGAAGTGATGGGGTCTTACTATATTGCCCAGGCTGGTCTTGAATGCCTGGGCTCAAGTGATCCTCCCACCACAGCCTCCCAAAGTGTCAGGATTACAGGTGTGAGCCACTGTGCCTGCTCCATCTTGAAATTCTTAATAGTTTTTTTAAAAAAGAGATCCTATGTCTTTATTTTGCACTGGACCCAACAGATTACATAGCCATTCCCACACAGAAAGTTTATTACCTTAGCTAGTCTTATAGAATAAAAAGATTCCGAAAAGCATTTGAGGCTTTGACAGTGCCCCAACAAAGAGAATTGAATATATCTTTAATGAGTGCAGATTTATTTTAGCAGCTTCAATAAGATCTAGCTTGACTGCCTGTGTACCCATTATCCACCTCTCCAAAGAACTCAAAAGGCAAGTAATACTTTTTAAACACTATTATGTGTTAGGTGCTTATGTGTAAGCTACATTATTCAGCTTTCACAACAATAACAGGAAATGTGTGGCTCCAGGTATGTATCAGCGCTTTTGGATGTCAATGACAACATGTACTTAGATTAATTTAAGTCGAGGAAGAATATATTACATGATATTAGAAAGTTCACAATAAAGTTAAGAAGTCTGGAGAACAGTCTCAAAGCTGATTCCATAAAATTACCTAAAACCAAGCTGTGGATTATCTAAAACCAAGCTTAGCTTGATTAGAAAACCTCTACTGTTAATATCACTGCTGCAACACATAAACACCAGAAGTTCTTAGAATTTTCTGCAACCACTGCTGCTATAAACACCCATGCCACTTCTTCATCAGGGGCATGGCCTTCCAATCACTGGGAAACTGCTCCCCTGCCACCATTGCATCTGGAAGCTGGATGGCCTGACCATCACGTATTCTAGCAAAAATGGCAGTTCCATGCGCAGCCTGCTCCCTAACATTGCTCACTTTTGAATCAAAATCCCTTATAGTATGTGTCTGATTGACAGCACCTGGCCACTTGTTTGTGTCCTGATTGTAAGGTAAGCCAGTAAATTGAGTTTTGACTTCTTCATTGGAGAGCCATTGATTATATATTTATCTCTAGTACTGTCACTAAATGATTAATACACAGGAGGTGCATAATATGCAATGGTTGTATATTCTGTGTGGCAGAAACTATAGCTGGGAACGGTGGCTCATACCTATAATCTCAGCACTTTGGGAGGCTGAGGTGGAAGGATTGCTTGAGACCAGGAGTATGAGACCAGCCTGGGCAACATAGTGAGACCCTTCCTCTACAGAAAATCAGCAGGGCGTTGTGGCATGTGTGTATAGTCTCAGCTACTTGGGAGGCTGAGGCAGGAGGATTGCTTGAGCCAAAGAGTTGAGTGAGCTCTGATGGTGCCACTGCAATCCAGCCTGGGCTACAGAGTGAGACCTGTCTCTAAAAATAAATAAATTGATTGATTAAATTTAAAAATCTGAAACTGTATAACTATCAAAAATTGGGAGAAAAGAGGAAGAGCATATGAAAACCTGAACAAGCTTGCTGATTGCTTACTGGTATTAGGAGGAAAAAAGCTATAATTTCAAATTAGGTGCTGAAGGAGCAGGGTGGAAGGGGAAAAAAAGATTACCAGTTAATTCCAATATTGTTCAGAATGGGCAACTGATAGGTAGTATTCAAAAAGAAGAGAGGATTAATATTATTATGTAAAGGTATTACTCAGAAGATAACCTTAGAAACAAAATACAAACTTTCCTAAATGCCAAAAGAAAGAGAAAACACAGGAAATAAAACAAGCACATAAATGGAAGACCATATGTCTGTCTATATATATAATTTATATAGCATAGATAGGTATGGCAGAACTGAGTCCAAGCATATAGATTATATTAAAAATATATATACATATTCATTTATAAAAATAAAAGCATTCTTGAATTGGCTAACAAAGCAAAATTCATGCTATGTTATTTGTGAAAGCAAACCTAAAACAATAAAAAAAGGGCACTTTATAATGTAAAGGCTACCATACAGAATAAAGATAAAATAATTACTAATATTTTGAACCTAAAAACATAGAATTTTCACTAAAGCAGAAATAACAGGAGATGCTGGGAGAAATTGAAACAGCACTAATGGAGTCTTTAACACACCTCTCTCAATCTGAGACAAAGGAAGTGGACAAAAAACCAAGGAAGAATATAGAACATCTAGAAAGGATAATTCATAAATCTCTAAAATCTCCAAAACCACCTGCGGATATGTATAGGTAAATATATTATAAGTATTATATAGGTTTAATATATACTATATATATATATATCAGTATCCAGTGCGCCAAAATCAAGGTGTTGGCAGGGCTGCATTGCTCCGTACTCAGGGCCAGCATCTTCAAATCTTTTCGTTTCATCTTCACATAGCCTTCTCCTCTGTGTGCATCAAATCTCTTTCTGCCTCTCTCTTACATAGACACTTGGGATTGCATTTAGGATAATCCATGATACTCTCCCCATCTACAAATCCTTAATCACACTCTGCAAATGCTTTTTTTCTCGTAAGGTAACATTTACAGGTTATAGGGATTAGATATAGTTGTGGCTAGAATATATTAATAATTAATTTTCATGAATGTTACATGAGCACTGGAAATGAAGGCATACATAAATTCTAAGAATAAAAATATAATTCTTTGAGCACAATGCAATAAAATCAGAAACTAATAAACAAAAAATTTAAAAAGG